ATTTTGAAAATATGAACTCTTTTGTCACTTTTAGTTGATTTGTGACAATCTTCTTACGAAAAAAGCGGGGAGCGAGGTATTCTTAAATACTTTAATAACTCTGCGAAAACTTGTTTGATATTTCTGATAACTTTTAACTGTATGTATTGACTGTTGCTTAGTGTGATGTTTACCCGTCATTTGTGTACTGTATTGATCTTCTAATTGTTCAGAAACACTACTGACAGCATGTTCATATAAAGCTCTTCTATGATGAGTTTGTCTATTGGTTTGAGCAAGAACAACTTGGAAATCATTCTATATTGTAAAACATCAGACATTGGTATTCTAGTAGTATTAGTAGGCTTATACCTACCATTCGTCGTTTATTTTCTATTGCTATTGCTTGATGTTCTTTATCCAATGCTGTTCGTCTCAAAAATATGTGTTTAATTTCCAGCTGAACTTGTGGCAATTCTTTACGAAGTAAATCAATATCCTTAGAAATACCAGTCAGTCATACGAGCACTAGTAGAATGAAGTATTGAAACTTACACACTGAAGATATTGCTTACATATATTTAATGTTTTATTGATTAATTTAACACTAGCTAGCCGTTCGGTTACTTGACGGGTACGAGCAATAGCTTCTTTTACATTCTAAAGCAGAAATTAACTGAAGTATATTATCGGTGTAATCGGATAATTTAGTTTTAGTACTCCAACATCGACGGTCAATTGGATGTTGTCTTTTGCATTTTGTGTATATTTCACGTAAGCTTCTTTTAATTGTTCCAATTTTTCGAGTAAAACTTTTCGTACATACAACAAATGATTATTTTTCAATGTTTCTCTATTATAGATTGTGTCACTTATTTCCAATGAATTCTAGAGAAGAATATAAAATTCTGTTATCAATTTACCAGTAAAAACTACGCACTACTTTTCATATCCAACCTACGACGATTGTTGTATGTTTATAAAGACCTAATTTTTGACGTGGTAGTTGTTCTTCCATAAGGACAGAATTATTCTGAAAAATAATGAAAACCACATAGCACATCAAATTAAAATAAATCTCTTTCTCACTCTAACTTACATCTTTTATGTGTGATTTTATTCGCAGTCGTTGTTGAGTATTATTATTTTCTAATAATTTTCGTTCAAATTTTGTTGTTTCTAGTTTTTCTCGTGTATCACCGTATAAACAATATTCAACATTTTCTGGAAGATGAAGAAATAAAGCAGATACGTATATAAAAATCATGAATACCACTTTTACTTAGCCAAATGACACGATTTTTTAAATCTAGCACACGTTCTTGGATATCTGCTTGTGTTCGTTTATGAACACTATTACATCTAAAGGTAGAGATCAATAGTAGATGATCTCACATGTGAAAATTCTGAAGATCTTACTTGAAACGTGACATTCTAATAGTAGAGAAAGTATTAAATAACTAAGAAGTTTTAGAAAATTGAACTAGAAAGAACTAATGATTAGGACATAGTCATCTACAAAACAAGCAAAGGCGCGCAATTTAGAAAGTTTATAATTTTATTAAATTAATAAGTAATTAATTATGTTAATTATTGTCTACTTTCTGATGTAATAAAAGTAATATATCATACTCTTGAGAAAGAAAAGGATATCTGATCATGTATTTTTCTTCAAGATCCGCTATTGTAGAATTAGATATTGTATTTATTTTAACTTTTTGAGTTAATTATTAATGTAAGGATTGCTATTTTCTATTTAACGTATTCATATATGGATAAAATATCCGGATATTAGCAGAATGGATCTCAGAAGGAAAAAAAGACAGAAAAGATCTGGGAAAAATGTTAATTAAGTATTTCTGCATAAAAGATCTCGGAAAATTTAATTTAATCTTTTATTCTGCATAAAAGATCTCGGAATAATGAATAATCTAGAAGGAAAACATGTGCATAAAGCACAGTATTATGTCATAACATTTTCAACTTCATTCTAACTGTAAACTTAAAAATGTTACGTCGTACGTGGAATGCAGTGCTCGTATGCGACAATGAAAGCGATTTATCAGATTTCATTAAAGATCAACATGTTTGTGTTTATCGAAAGGCAACATTTAACACTGGCACATAGATTACATATAAATGTTCAGAATATAAAAAGCACCCATTGTGTCAGTTTCAATGAAAGGAAAAGAAAGTTCACATGGGTATCAAGTCTATTCGTCGGAAGTACATAATCATCATACACGCGCTCAGACAAGTCGTCTTCCATGCAATAAGTTTCGCATTAAAGAATCGTTTTGATAAAGATTGCATTATTTAGAAGGCATAATATACGCGGGTTGGAGAGCTTTTGCTATTAATTAATTATTTATTCCGAGATCTTTTCTCTTAAATAGATAAAGGATGGGGGTCGATAAGAGACAAAATCGGCCCCCTCTCAGATCAAGCTCATATTCACAAGTCTGATGTAGTTTTTCTCCGTGATTAAAACTAGCACCTCAAAAAAACCATTTTCGTTTTTCATCTTCCTGGAAAAAATTCCGCATCCAAACTTTTCTGCCCTTAAATGAACTTTATTTAGAGTATTTTCACCATCTCTTCCCTTTGCCCAAAGCAAATCTCAACTACTGTATATCATTCGACAGAGAATTTCAGCGGCTAAAAAATGATATATAGGATATTCAGAACAAATGGGGCCTGGGTATCATAGTACTAGAAATACAAGCCGCGACCTTCACAAATCCATACGTCAACAGCGTTCATTATCCAGCCAGTTTATCGTTAACCACTTCACTTTATATATCATTCGATAGAGAATTTTAGGGGCTACAAAATGTTATATGGGATATTCAGAACAAATGTGGGGCCTAACACTAGAAATACTACTGGAGAGTGATGTTTTCGACATCGACGGATAGGCTAAATCCATATAAAACCGTTTACCATTTACATCGCCCTTTGACGTCAGTGACGAGACCTATCTCATATTATAGAACTTAGCAAGCTGAACCGAATGGTGACACCCGCAAGTCTCCAGCCTTGTTAGAAAAAAGCTATAGCCATTTTACCCTCGCAGCAGAAAAATGCATTTTCAACATTTCCCGGCGGATTTTGCCTAACTTGTAGAACGTCTACCGACCACATTCCCTAACGTAGAACCTTGAAGTTAGTGTCAAATGAAAGAGCGCATCGAGTTCTATATATTTCGACGGAGAAAAGTTATGTACACGTCGTAGCCTTGAGATAGAGATTTGTGAAAAACCCGGTTTTCTAGAAAACTGAGTGATCTTAAAGTTTCTATCAAAAGCCTTTCAACTATATCATTAGATAGCCCCTTCAATTCTCCATAAAATAACCCTACAAAAAAATATTTTATCGGTACTGGTTGTGCACGGATGCGCGCCGGTGCCGAATCATTTTTTTCTGAGCACTGATGCGCATCGGTGCCAGAAAGAACGTAAAAATCTCGCACCGGTGTGCATCAGTGTCGAAGTTTTATTTTCAATCACCATTTTGTTTTGTCAATTTCTGTCTATATTAACGCTACAGTCTACTTCTAATATTTCGAATGTCTTTCTGACTTCATCTTTTCCTTCTCATAAGAGAAGTGCCGAGGCAATGCCGC